TTCTGAGTGTTTTTCGTTGGCACAGGAGCGGAGCAAAGATGGGGCGACCTGTTTGCTATGAAGCTGAAACTAAAACTACCTCTTAGTGGTGAATTAATGTATGACAAGTTAGATATTGTGAGGGTCCTTTGGGAACGGGTGAGCAGCGCGGAGGCGCAGATGGATCATTACGGTCTGAGGAGAATGGCTCTGCGAGGAGTTACAGTGGATCTGGTCGACGTTCAACACTCAGGGAAAGGATAAGGCGGATATACAATCAGTCGGTTACTGGCACCATCTGAAAAAGAACTCTTTGCTTGCTGCTGAAGATGGGGACTGATCACTTATAGAAGTATTCCGAGTGCTGTGATGTCGATTCTCAATTCAACATTCTGGAACCAATGACTAGATACGAATTAGATTCATAAGGAGGCGGAGGAAGGGAATAACAACGACGTCGACGAAGAAGAAGGAGCCGAGTTATAGCTAGATCCTCTTGTCACTCCCAGTTGCACCATTTATTCCAGACACTGGTGGTTCGTGCCTGTGTGTTCTTCAAAAGATCAGATGTGCTTTGCTGTGTCTAAATTCACCACCAAAGACATAAATACATGTGTAACAATACAAAAATAACTTGAAAAAATGAACTGGTTTAATAATTAATTTTGTGATGCTATGCGTCCTATATTTATTCTCTATACTTTTATATCTATACCAAACTATCTAGGAATTTATTTCACATGATTTTAAAATCTTACAATTCCTATTTCAGTTGATATTGTATAGTGTCGCAATGAAACACTGAATTAAACAATTTCGTATCGCAAACTAAAAACCCGATCCAACTTTTAAAATATTTTTACATTGCCAATACTTCCGTTTCCTCTTTCTTTTTGAGAAAGATCGACGAAGGGCCGAATCGAAAATGGTAAGTTGAAATAATATCGAGTATAATCGTGCTGAAATATGGAGATATTAAAGTATTTTATTATTATAATGTTTTATCACACTTATGGAGTTCTATTTTAGACACGAATGTGTTTTATAGTGAGTGTTGCTTGTCACACAGAAGTGATTTGACTAGTGAAGGCACGTCGGTGTGATAATGGCGAAGTTGGTACTCGACTGAGAAAAAAACATGGTTAATAATAATGATTGTTGTATCTTATACAGACATGGCGCGCCTATAAGCAGTCTCTTCAGGTTGACTGCACTGTGCGATAAAAATGACAGTACTACAGTTCACATATATCTGTGCATATCTGAATTGTTTCCTTCTAAGTTGAGGGACATAGGATCAAGTCTGCATACAGATAAGCCGATAAGCCAGATCTGTAAACCTGAACTGCAATCAAATCTCCATTTTTGGTTCGAGATAAAAGCTCAGGAGTGGACAAACTGCTGATGCCAATAACATTAATATTACTGACCATTTCCTGTAATTTATGTTTTGGGAAAAATGTTTGACAATCAAAAAATAAAACAATTGTACCCTGAAGGAAAGTTTATTTATAATGCAACCATTTAATATTACCTATTTTCATATTTTGTCACTTCTTGTTTCTATTTTTCCCTGCAGTTACCGTTGAGAAATGTTCTGTGCTGTCTTGAATGCTAAGATTTTAAATTCCTAATATAGTTTTTACAGCTTTACTAACACTGGTCTTCCCCTTAGTTACTATCTTTATGAGCAAAAAACCTGTCCACATTTTTTTCCCGATAAAGCATTTGGTGCTATCACTCATTCTGAAGTTTTGGATTGATTTTTGGCTATTATTTACAATTCTTCACTATTGTCTTTGTTATTACTGGTAATTTAACTGACATCAACTAATTTTTGTTTTTGTGATTTAATCAACAGGCAGATACAGCAGAAGATCTTGCAGAGAAGAAGAAGAAGAGAACCTTCAGAAAGTTCACCTACAGGGGTGTTGATCTTGATCAGCTCTTGGATATGTCTATGTAAGTTAATATACTTTTTTTTTTCTTCTGTGTTCGACATCAGTCATGCTAAACATTGAGTCCCGTCTGGGTCACTAATACTAATAGGATTGTGCGTTTAAGGTCGCCACCGGTCCCCCATAGCTTCTCTTGCAATGTGTCTTCCTTGGGCCAGATCCACTGTCTTTGCTGGGAGAGGTTAGGGCAGTACTGTAGTATGTGCTCAGGGGTCTGTCTTTCTGCTCCACAATCACATAATATACTTTAAAAACATCTGATAATCTTAGTTTCTGCTTCATAGCAAACAGGTCACTCCATAGTTGCTCTGCTCCTGTGCCAACGAAAAGCAACACACAAAATGTTTATCACAGTTAAGAAAAAACTGCAGCTTATAGTGTCACGTCATGCACTCTACTCAGAAGCTGGACAATGAAACTATATCCTGGTATGCGCCACTGTCCTCCTGTATTGTTTTCCCCCTTCTTTACGCTGTGTATGCCTATGCTGACCTTGATCCAGGGATCCATCTGTGTAGATGATATTTTATAGGTCTGAATGCTGATCTGTCAGTTTTTACTTCTGTCTGTGGTCGCAGGAATTTGATCCCGGCAGTACCTTCCGAGTGTGATAACCTTAGAGATGCTATGCATGTCTACAGGTGTATACAACTATTCTTTTCCGTGACTGATCACGTCTAGGTCACATACCTGCTGGATTAAATCCTCAGCCTTTGCCACCCAATTTTGAGACACGTTCCTTTTGTGTCGTGGGTGGTTAACGTCTGTTGATACCATCATGAACGCCTTGACCTGTGCCACTTTGTATCTTCTCGTCATCGTCTGCAAACTGACATAACGCATGGCGTTGCAGGTGTCGTCTCTTATGCAGCCGAGTATGTCACATGGCCTCATTTTGTACTCGGTCCAGTCTTTTTATCTAGGTTTTGCTGACAGTGAGGTCAAGACCAAGGTCAATGGCGCTTAATACAAGCTCTTGGCAGAGAAGGGAAAGTAGGCGTTTAGTATCAGCTGCTGATAGCACCTTAAGTGCTGTCAGAGACCTTTACTGGCTCTAAGCATGACGTTGTCTAAGTGGTATTTGTATGACAAGCATCTGTCAAATGTCATGCCCAGGTATTTCGTGGTGTCTGTTTTCTTGATGTCTACACCACATATGCTTACGACTGGCTTTTGTGTACTGACGATGTGTACTTAACCATATTAAGGAGGCTTCGGACGGGTTCACCTGAGCTCTTGATTCCTAGCACCACTTACTAAGTCATGTGACTGCTAGTGTGCTAAATAACACTGCAACATGTCATCTTTTCTTTAATCTAGTTATTTTAATTTCTATGTGTGTGTTAATGCACACAGGTAGATGCTTTTTAATAGCTGAACAGGTTTTTTTTTTGGTGCAATTAATTTTATTCACTGGTAGGATTTTGATGTCAGAATATTAGAAAAAGCACACTTATCTTTTTAGTTAAGGTAATGTTTCCTTTTTGTTAACATAAAAGCCTATTAATTTAAAAAAAAATAATTGCCAACCTAATTGCTACCTGCCATTTTAAATCATGATTAAAACTATATTTTTTGCTAGTTTTGGTCAGTAATGGGCTTTCTCCGAATAACGACCACATTATGGCGACCCAAAAAAACTCACATGTAAATTGCAGACTTCTTTTCGGTGAATATACTGCGACAAAAGTGGGATACATTTCTGGGGGTGATGTCGCGATATGCAACAAAACACGCTGCGGCAAAAGTTGGGCAGATTTCCGGCGATAATGTAGCAAAATGCAACAAAGCGCTGAAATAAACTCGAGTTTTCCCCGCTACGCTAAATTAGCTTCCTCATTCAAGTTTTTGAAACAAACACATGACCTAATGAGGCCCTGTCAGGGTTTTTTTTTTGGCCACCTTAATATGTGGCTGTTTTTGGAGGATAGCCCGGTAATGAAATAACACCAGAATAATGAATCTGCAAGACTGTTGACTCATTGGGAGCAGCCTTGGAAGTCGAGGTGCCAGGATCAATCTGCACACAAATAAGCTAGTAAAACAGATGTACACAAAAAACTAAGGTCCTGGCAAATAAGCCAGTAAAACAAATGTACACATAAAACTCAGGTCCTGGCACAAAGCCAAATTCAAAGGACATACAACTAGAATTTTGTGTTAGAGCCTACAGTCAGTGAACGAAAAAAAATAACAAAAGTATCTGGAATTTTAGTTGGAGCTTTATAGCAAACGGGTCACCCCATAGTTTCTCCTCTCCTGTGCCAATGAAAAACACATAGAATGTTTACAGTCCCTTGTGGACAGATGCAGTCTCAGCATATGCACTACACACGCACTAAAAGCATATGGTAGCCATCTAAAGTGTTAACACAAACATTAGAAATGCAGTTTCCTGTGTGGGTTCTGGGGCCCTGTTAAAATGAAAACAAGAATAGACCCACTGCCTACCCAAAAAGCATGTAGGAAGAGTACCAATTATGAGCTTCCTTCAAAGTCGGAGTGCATCTGCCTGAGAGGCAATGAACCATCTGCTTACGGATGCACACGCAACACCCAGGTTCTGAAACAGGACTGCAATTCAGAAGTGGACGAACAACCAGAACTTTCCGCCAGTTAACAGCTGGTGAATGCAAAACAGAAATGCAGTTCATGGTGGATGGTAGCAGAAGTCACCACCAGATCAGCAGTTGCAGTCATTTTAATCACATAATGGCACTACCAATTTTGCTACAACAGGCAACACGCTACTTTATGAATCCACTATTCACACTTCCACGTTAATCAGTCGGAAAAACAGCTCAGTGTCACGCCATGCACTTAACTCATAAGCTAGGCGACAACGCTATATCCTTTCGGTCTACAAATGAAGAAAAAATGCAACGACCGCTGTCTGGCAAAAGCAAACAATTTGCAACGGCTTAAAACTGACTGTGCCAAGCATCCATTTTGACAGGTGATACTGCTTTTCATCCACAATGATATTTCTTCTGCAGTTTTATTCGCTTTCTTTTCCCACCATGATGGTTTTAAAGTCTTTTTGGAACTTCTTATAACATTGTTTTTTGTTTTAATTAAATGTTATCATATTTCTTGTGTATTTACATCCCCCTCAACCTATTTGTTTGTTGATTGGCAGTGTTTCTATCCCACATATTGGGTCAAACGTATAACATTTTTGTTCTGATCTCTATAGATGTCAAAAGATGCTTTTTGACAATATATTTTTCTTCTCTTTGTTATTCCATTTAACAAAATAACACTGTTTTGTAAATGCAGGGATCAGCTTGCAGATTTGTTCAACTGCCGTCAGCGACGTCGTCTGAACCGTGGTTTGAAGCGCAGACCTTTGGCTTTGATGAAGAGGTTGAGGAAAGCTAAAAAGAATGCTGGACCTCTTGAGAAACCAGAGGTAAATGTGAAATTTGAGCTGATCATAGGAGGGATATGTTTAGCGCCATAGAAAAGTGATGGTCTGTTTAACCATAGGGAACTTTACATTTGTCCAGCACTGATAAAGGGCTTTCTTCAGGTGGGTTCCGGTGCCTTTTCTGCTTTAGGCAGAAAGAATAGACCCACTGCCTAGTATGATAAACTTAACTAATTAAGGGTATTTCTTGTCTAGGAGTGTCTCTGCCCAAGAGGTGAGAAACCAAGTCAGATAAGCCTGGTCTGATTCTCAAAGTCCAGAAGTTGAGAAACAGGAATCAAACTAAAGTCCAGAAGTGGACAAACAACTAAAACCTTCCATATGAATTTACAGCTGGTGAACGCAAAGACTACTAATAGTGAATTTTCTGAATTTAAAGGGCAAATTATTATGATGTATGAATTACGACTTAACCTTTTAATAATGCATGGAAACATCCTGTCTAAAGACAGAAATACTAGTTAGATGTCTTGTTCACCATTTTAAAAATAGAGCAGTTGGCCCAATAATAGTCTGTCTTCTAAAGATGTGTATGTCTAGTTTCAGCAGTGTTTGTTGTATATGTATTTTTGGAATTTAAACTTTATCTGCTTAGAACTACCTCAGTGGTGTCATATTTTGAGTGTTCTGGCTTTCACTATAAGTTAACCTGATTGCTGTGTAAAATTGACATTGTGTGTGGAGTATAAGGTGCTAAGACACATATTTTATAGATTTAAATAAAGCTTTTAGTAGATTTTATATTGGTAAAATCGCCATCCAGTCTTTGACTACTAAAAATTTTGAATTGAGATTTCGCATCATGGCACTTTGGATACTCCCATAAGTGCTTTGTTCCTATCTGCAGCAGTAAGCGAAGAGTTCCAGTTCTGATGGTACCATTGTCTGATTGTACATCCGACACACCTTTCCTTTAAGTGTTTAGCATCGGCCAGATCCCTTAGTAGCTTCCAGCAACACCATTCTCCTCAATCTATTTGTGCCTCCGCACTGTTCACTTGCTACCAAAGGGCCCTAACATATAGCTTGTCATACATCAGTTTGGCTAATTGGAGTCATCCTTTGAAGTCGAGAGTGCACCTGCCTGAGAGGCAGGGAATCAGCAGTCTACACACTGATAAAACAGATGTACATGCAACACTCGGGTTCTGGGGGGGAACAAACAATTTGAACTCTCACCAGTACAACCAGAGGGGTGCAGTTTACAGTGTTGAAAGTGTTCTGGGGACTTACCATGCAATATCCCTACACACAAAATATTAGCGTCTACAGTACAGCAAATCTGTTATGGATGTGGCATTTAAGTAGAGGAAACAAGCAAGTCTGCTTTGTTGTTTTACATAGGCCTGTGCAACTTCTGTGTGTTTAATGACTGATCATTTTTTTCTTGTGTGCATCAGGTAGTCAAGACACATTTGCGTGACATGATCATTGTTCCTGAGATGATTGGATCCATTGTTGGTGTTTACAATGGAAAAACCTTCAACCAGGTGGAGATCAAGGTAGCCTTTTTTGACACATTTATAATTCTCAGTAGAGAACATGTTATTATTTTTTGTTGTTTTTCATTTTTGACATGTCATTATGCTCTGTTAATTATATTTGTGCAGTTGATAATTCTTCAGTGTTTAGTTTTAAAAAGCTGAACTGTATTATAATTTTTATATTAGTGATCATATGGGGGGGGGGGGGGGGGTGAATAGGTACTAGCTGTCCAAAAACCAGACTTATAAAGTCATTGAACAGGCTTTATAAATGTAAAAAAAAATATCTGTTAGTGATTCTTGAGAACACTTCTGAAAAAACTTTGGACTAGGAGATTAACCCAACATTGTATGCATGGAAATGGGTAACGAAAGTAGAACATTATATACATGAATGAGGAGACAAAGTTCTTTGGTCATGATGTGATGAGAAAAGGAGCACGGAGAATATTGTGACGGCTGGAAAGATCACAGGTAGAAAAGGCAAAGGCAGACCAAAAGAAATCATGGTGGGTGGCATAAAGGTATATTAGTAGAATTTATCCAGAACACCAAAGACCAAGATCTGTGGAGACGTATGGACCCCTTTGCCAGCTTTCAAGGCACTTGATGATGATAACCTGTTTTAGGTGTTGATTAGATTCGTACTTGCCATATTTGTTTCTTTTTTTTTTTTCATTTGTCTTTTTGCAGTCAATTATTTCCTTCTGTCTTGCAAGCTAACAGGTCCTTGTCTAAACCTTAAAGGTTAAGTTGATTAAAATAGCCTTGTGGTTTATAGCTAACAATGAAATCTGTGTATAGTCTGTTGATGAAATGAGATATGTAATTTGAGATGAGTACAAAAGTAAAGAATTTATGTGCTCGTAGTATATTTTTTTACCGCTACATACAATAATGGATTTGCATAGATTAATTTTATATATTTTCTGCAGCCTGAGATGGTTGGACACTACCTGGGTGAGTTCTCAATCACATACAAGCCAGTCAAGCACGGTCGCCCTGGTATTGGTGCCACCCACTCTTCCAGGTTTATTCCACTCAAGTAAATGCTTGAATAAAGTAACTGTATAAGTTCCAGTTGTTCCATTGTTCCCTCTTTCATTTTTGTTTGTGTTTTTGTTTTTAAAAATCCAATAGCAAATCCATTTGCAACAGTCTATACAATACTGCCCAGATTTTATGCTGTGGAAACTTCATCCCTGGTTGTGATTGCCCACTTCAGTGAAATGGAACAGGGAGAAATGCATACATTGAAAGACTAATTCAAAAGGTTGCGAATAGAGGCTCTGGATGGTATTCAACAATGAGGGCAAACTAAAACAAGTCTTTTATCAGGTTGTGGGTTCTGGGTTTTACTGCCTTCCTAAAATCATATCCTTGGACTCAATTATTTGGGGGCATCCTTCGATGTTGGAATAAATCTGCCTAAAGGGTAAAGAATGAAAATATAAATATAAATGAAACCGATGTGCATGCAACACTCAGGTTCTGAAACAAGACTACTGCAAGAGGTAGAACTTTCTGCCTGGGTTTAAAACCAAGTAGATTCAGTTGCAACTATTAGTATGTTGACCTTGTTGACTACTGAAGAAGACAGCATCAGTTGAAATGTCCTGATTGCCCTGTCCTGTCAGTTCTTGTCATTCGTTCAGTTAGTCCCTTCATATGATTTTATTTCTGCACTTTCCCATAACACAACAAGAAAATGCAGAAAGCTGACCGTAATAATAGTCTGTGAAATAATAGTTACTGAGCAGTCTTTTACAGCAAAAACCTGCCGAACTTACTTTTAGGTACATATGTGTCTCAGCACATATATATTTTTATTTTTGCGTTAGGTTTCGTATGTGCAGGTCAAACCATCAAGTTTGTTGCCTCTGTGAACTTGCATGTCTTTCGTGGTTCCCCATAGCGTGCTCTGCACACTTTGCTCTTGAGGCCAGGTTTCCTAAAGAAGTAGAGTATGGAGTGCGCTCATATGTTTGTGGCCCTGGCAGGCACTCTAGGGACTGTATTTTTTTTTTTTAATGCTCGTGGTAGTTGCCTTCTGTTGTCCTGTCCGTTGACCGAAAATTGTATGTAGCTTTTTGTTGTCTGCTGATGGGGTCTTGTGGATGTTAACTGTTGGTTTGTGGTTTAAATGTTTTGGTTGCTAATCATTTCCTTGTATGCTGCAGAGAGCCGGGATCCACCTGAAAATGATGCGGTGTTTTTTTTTGAGTGGTTAGCTATTGGGTCTGTAAGAAATCTGTATTTGTACTCTTACTTCAGACCTTGGTAGTAGATAGACTGGTTTGAGGTTTAAACCTCTAGGCTTTTATTGTAGCAGGTCTTTGGCAGAATGTTGCCCTCATTACAGTCAATGCTGGAGTCTCTTGTTTACTCTTCTGTTCCTTGCACTTTCACATACAAGTTACACATCCTGTGACCATCCTAATGGCTGACCCATGCCACTCCTTCCTGATAAACTTTCTGAATTTTTTTTTAAACCGGAGGCGCTTGTAAATGGCATTTGAGACGAAATGCTGTTTATTAGCTAACGTTCCTAGGTGTTGTAAAGTGCTATTGTTCTTTCGTGGTGACCAATTTGATTCACGGCATGGTAACTAGCTTTCAAATTCTAGTGTTTTGCAGCTAAACATTTATTAGCAGCAAAGCACTAAATTCAAGGATTTGTGGGAGAGGGGGGGGGTAAGAGGGGAAGGGGTGGGGGGTAATCTATCCTAGAAAGGTGCAGCCTATGATAAGGTAGAGACTGTATGGAAGGCTATGGCAAATGCTCCTGTCCCTGCCTGCTTCGAATGGCTGTCCTGCACAAAAAGTTACATGTATATGTTATGCTGTTTCAAGGAGTCCATCTGATTAGGTGATGTAAGATGTTATATTTTTTATGAACAAAATCCTGTAGTAAGATTCATAGCTTTTATATTTCCTAACTACCAGACATTATGGTATATGATATTGCACGTCCGGCTTTAAATCTGGAGCTGGCCGTGGATATTAACTTCTCATAGTCAGCTAAGTCGATGCGAACGCTTCGTGGTGCTGGGTTTGACCCCAACTGCGGGCCATGCCCCTTGAGTTGGTTTCGACAGTGGTATCGAGAAAGCTGACTGTCCAGAAAGCAGTGGCAAACTGCCTGACCTAGATTTGCCTAGAAAAACCACACAACAGCCAGGGGCTGTTGGAGTTGGTTTTGCAACTTCCTGTAAAGGATACGCAACTAACATTTCCTCACATAACTATCCAAATAGCAACGTTTGCCAGAGTGGTCCCCTAATATATGTATATTAATTGAACCAGTGAAGACTCGTTCATTTCGGAAGCCAACAAAAAACTTTATACAATGCAGTTAATATTCACAAGGCATGTGAAATTTTATTTCTGTATATGAAAATGTAAAAAATCTGATGCATTTCATGTTAAATATAACATACTTCAATGCAGTAAACATAATTGGATCAGAAATGAGAACGGCATATTAAAACAGGGATCTATAAAATGCTATATGAACTCAGTGGGCGGATTATTGGTCTTTACAGTTACATAATATTTTTTCTCGTTTACCCTTTGTAAAGTTCTGACTGTTTGTGTCCACTTATTCTAGAACCCGAGTTGTGTGCACATCTGTTTTACAGATATAAGTTATTTGTATGACTTCTGTTTCATCAGACAGATTCAGTTCTTAAGAGGGGGGGGGGGGGGGTGTCTATTCTTGGTTTCCCTACAATGGATCCTTGGAACCCAATGGGGAGCAATTACACGATGCAAAAGTTAAGCTTCAAACTCACAAGCTGTTGTTCATTTAAAACTTTAGGGAGGGGGGGGGGGGGGGAGTTTTTCTGGTTGTGTATGGACTTTGGGGTTGTTCCAGAACTCCAGTTTTGCAGATCTTATTTGAATGCAACGTGGTTCTTCGCCTCTATGGAGGAAACATCCCTAATTAGTGACCTTTTATGACAAGCTCGTTAAGCGGCAGTGAGAATGGGCTACCAGAACCCTTACAGGAATCTTGACCCTCAACTGTACTTTAAACACTCCTTGTCTCAGTTTGTTATTGTCAACTCCTCAGGTTCAGACATTAGTTAAAGTGACAGCTCTTCAAAATAGGAGTTGGTCTGGTTTTGAAGGAGTTTGCCTATGTGCTGTTGCGTTTTCTGAATTACTGCCTAAGAGTTTGAACCCTGAAATTACACCTCAGACCATATGACCAGCAGTCAAAAGCACTCCATTCAACCTTAAATGTTCAGAAACAAGTGCCATATTTAGATTAAAGCAATGTATTGTGGACCACTGGGTGCCAAGCGTACCAACCACTTGAAGTAGAAAGAAGGGTGACCTCCAAGACACAAGTGTAGGGTCCAGTTTTTTTAAACTATGCAGTGAGCATACACGCTGATATGCCCTATTTGTACAGGCTTTGTGCTATCAATACCTAACATGGACAGTCCTAGAAAAGCAAACGCAAAATTACATCATGTGAGATGTATGCTGTACGATAGACATGGCCAATGAAACACCTTTTTTGGGGGGTGCCTAGTTGACCATGTATCTTAGTGCACTTGTATTCATGGCGAGGCGCAGACGCCGTCTGGAGGTGACAGGTTCAATTCCCGGCACGGTAACTATAGCTTTCGATTTTTATGTTGTCTAGTGTGTTCTTCTATCTTTCTACTTCTTTCTATGAGTGCCGTTCACAATACTTTCTGTTACTTGATTAATGCATAAGAAAGGACTGAATCACAAATGAACCTACCAAACCTGTGTCTGAAATGTTCTTTGTATTCTAGACCAGCGTTTCCCAAACGTTTCCGCCGTTGGCACCCTTGTCTAGCTCTATGTCCTATACGCCGTAAGGTGCACCTACCCTTAGAGCTGTTTAAATACTCCCATTACGGAAAGAAGAAAAAAAACTGCAACTTTACTGGGATGAATGAAACTGTTCAGATGAATTTCTATTATTATTTCCTTATGTTTATGGAAATGTTAATTAATTGTATTTAAAACGTTTTCCCGTAATGAATTTAAACAATGCGGATACAAATTTATTGCCAGGCATATTTCGCTGTATCTCAACAGGTAAGTTACTACAGAGTTACATCAACCTGAAATAAAACACAAAACTGAATAAATTCAAATAAATTGCGAACAGTTTCTTCGATACATTGTCACTCTTCCATGGCCGTCGGAAGCTCACCGTAGTCACTGTCTACCAGGGTAACTTCAAATGTACATTTGAAGTTACCCTGCATTATTTGAATTAACTTTATCCTCAAATCACTTGCTGATTGCTAATGTTTTTTTTTTTTTTTAGATGTAAGCGTAAGTTGAGAATACACTACAGCCTTTTACCAATAGCATTGTTCTCTGAAAACACCTGCATCCAAAACTTTTCTTGGTTTCCTTTATGGTAAGTAAAATAAGTAAAGATCCCTTTCCACGCCTTTAGGCGTATCGGGCATGGGAAGAGCGCCCATATTTTTACAGACCATCAGCGCTCGGTGGGCAATGTGGTCAGCATTACGCCGGCTGTTCCTTTATGGTATTTCTGTTTTAAACTACTGTCTTCGCTAATCTAGAGATTTTGAAAAAATTTTTTTATTATGGCCGCAGCATTTCTGGCATACGCTCGCGGCACCCAGTTGCTGTTCTAGTTTTGACAGCATTACGGTCTGTTGTGTTTGTAATTTGACCTGTGCTCGATTGATAAATACACTTATGGTGTTATTTCAGTGATATATAAATTCCGTCCGTATTCCATAGTTGTGAATTTCAAGCTGTACGATAGATGTGCCTAGTTGGTCATGTTCTTATTACACTTGTTTCCATGGCGAGGCCTGCAGGCCATAGGGAGGTAACAGGTTTGATTCCCGGCATGGTAGCTAGCTTTCGATTACGTTGCCTAGGTTTTCCGTTTTAGTTCTTTCTATGATAAGTACATTGTTTATTATGTATGCACACATACATGTACACACATGTCAGTGATATGTGTGTATATGTATAAGTCACCAATGAACTAAGAACAATGTTAGGCACAGTGCCATCAGGTGATTTCGAAGAACATCAAATAATCAAATTGTTTGGTCATCTGGTCAGAATAGAACAAAATCAGCCAGCAGTTAGAACGCACCAAATGAGGAAAACAGCAGACTGAAGGCTGACTAAGAAAGATAAAGTCGGGAGATGTGAACGAGCGTCATTGCACACGTTTATAAACCATAAATGCTCTGCCACCAGTATGGACAGCTGATGAGAAACTGTGTCGCCGTCCGCACGAAACTCCGTAGCTTCAGCGAAGTTCTTCTACTTACCCCAGAGTGTTAACTCTGGTACCCATTTCCTTGAGGCTGGGTGAACCACGGAAAGGCCCTGTTTTGAACACCGGCCCTGGGCGGCAGCGAGCCACAGCTGGATTTGACCCCTGACTAAGAAAGAGATGTATAGAAGGGGTTACAGAAACGCAATATTACATAACACTAGCTACGCGATTAGTAAAAGACTAGACTACATCTAGCTCCTCTGTGTGACGCTTTGGGCATCAGCAATAGCACCAAAAAAAAAAAAAAAAAATAAGAATGGGTATACAATGCAAACTCTAGAACTTGATTGGGTCATTGTTATTGGTCATAATTTTTTGCAGTTACATGCTATTTCTATTCCTTACTGAAAGCTGCGAGACTAAATGGTTTTTGACTTGTAATAAGACTATCATCGCGTTTCACAATGTTCGGTCTGGTAACCATTGCAGGACTACCAGAGCGCAGCAAATCAAGCAGACTCGTCTCTTGAAGCTTTTATTCTCTAAACCTAATGACCGACAGTGCTCCTATTGACTGCACAAATTCCATAAAGACAGCACGCATGAAAGTTGGCTGCTCTTCCTTTACTTTATTTTGTGGTCCAACCGCCAGCATTTGTTGACTACTTGTAGTATTACTCGGGAATTTGCCAGTGATTTCTCAACTGTCAACTCCTCATACATATTGCGTACATCAACTTAAAGTGGCGTGCTACCAATGTGATCGCAGTTAAAAACCACAAGGGATATCGGAATTATGTCTGCGTTCGTAACTTTTACACCAAAGAAGATAACTCGTCATTCTCTTTATTTTTATAGTGAATTTTGCTGAAGGTTCTTTGTTTGCAGTCAGAAATACTATTCGGAATCCCTTCTTCTAACGCACATTGTCCTAGGATATCATGGATTAATTGAGCTATTTTGTTCGAAATGTGGTGCCATGTAGTTCATACAATACAAACATTTGAAGTATGAAATTTTCATGTTTCCGCCTTAATTATCAGCGGAGGAGGGAAAGTGTTGCATATAGCTTTGGGAATGACATTAAGTAGATCATTGCGGTTATGCTCCTCATAATCTTGATGCATTATTTTGACTTGCGGTTATCACCAGCCTCCATTTTGAGAAAATTTCCGCTGACTTGTGAAAGCACCCATTCTTATTCCTCAGCTGCTCACAACAGAAAAGCTCAGCAATAGCCAGCAGCTTCAGCTAAAGATCTGCAAAAGAATCGCATAGTTGTGGTCGATTTTTTATACGATATATATACACACACACATATATGCATACATACATAAATGTAGAAATAGCAAGGAACACATTTTTATTTTATGACTTGAACATGTTCTAAAATGGTTGGGGCATATTGAAAGAATGTCAGATGACAGAGAAGTGAAAACTATACACAAGGGAGATGAATGGTCGTATACCACGAAGGAGACCAAGAAAACGATGGAGAGATAATTTCCAGACAGACCTGCGGGTGATATCTGCAGCAATGAATCTCAAGGGCTCGGAAGTCTGAAGAAGAAGAACTTGAACATATTCCAAGTATTTTAGTCAATCAGTTAATCAACTATTGAGTAAACGGGTCATCCTATAGTTGCTATGTTCCTGTGCCAACGAGAACCAAAATAGAATGTCCAACACTGTCAGGTGTGAAAAATCTCGCACAGATTTCAGTGTCAGCAATTCTAATAGCATATACACGCATTAGATGCATAAGACCGCCGTCAAAAGTGCCAGCGCAATCTCACACTAGAAATTCAGTTCACAGTCGTCGGAAGCAGCAGTGACAATAGATCAGTAGTTACACACGTAATAATCACATAAGGCACCGACAGTTTTGTGGCGACAGGCCATTCGCCATTTTCTGAATCTGCAGTTCACAGTACAACCTTTTACCTCTCAGACGGGACATTAGGATCGAGTAGACTGTTTTTTCTTCCTCTTAGCCTAAGGTTCTCTAAAACTGTATTTAGCATCATTATTATTTAATGTTTTAATAAGAAAACAGCCCACAATTATTTCCATTGATCAAAGATATTAGGGGCCGTCACCATGATAAAGGTTGGCTGCAGTGTATCCTAACGCTCTTCTCATCCTTACTGTACACACTCACAGACTCATGTTTGTCTTGGTATTTTTCTCTTCTTTCTATTATTATCGCTATCTACCTCTCGCTTGCTCACCTTCAGTTATATCAATGTCATGTTTCTAAAGTTGGCCACAGTTTCGTTTTAATCTCTTATAGCAACTCTTTTAACTCTGTGTCACAAAAATCTATATACCTGATTGTTTTTGTTTGCCTAAAAAATACAACATATTCTGTATATGTACATCAATCAATAGGTGTCTAGGCTTACAAATGCCTGTTCAGTGTCTACGTTTCTGTACCATTTAGTAGGATTGCACATACATATCATGTGAAAAAAATTTTTTATACTCCTCTTGCCAAATGGTCAGTTCTATGGCTAAGTAGATGCGAACGCTTCGTAATGCCGGGTTCGATCCCAGCTGCAGGCCATGCTTTTTGCGTTGGTTTCGACAGTGGTATCAAGAAAGCCGACAGTTTAGAAAGCAATGGCAAACAACTAGACATAAATTTGCCTAGAAAAATCACACAACAGCCAGGGGCTGTTAGTGTTGGTTCTGCAACGTCCTGTAAAGGATACGCAACTAACGCCTACCAGATGCGCTCTCTGTCTGTCTCTGTCTCTCTTTGTCTGCCTATCTCCCTCTCTGATAATTTTCACATGCTGTTTATTAAATTGTTGGGAGCCCTTCATATTCTAATTTTGGCTACATTTCTGTCATCATCAGTTATTTTTTCAACAGTCCTGAGACCGGCTGGAGAAGCTTGTTGATACTAGTATATCTCAGTTTACTGCCATCAGACAGAGCACAACAAAGAGCAGTACTACACAAATACTGCGTTAACAGATCCAGAGGTCGAACATGCAGGACGCGGACCGCAGAAGCATCAGAGACACTGAAAAGTACTTTATGTGAAACGAACAGAACGGCCTGTTCCAGAGATCTCTTCCTGCTCCGACGCCGCTAGGCATCTAGGAGTAGAGAAAAGAAGAAGAAAAAGAGGACTCAATGTTAGTCGTTTAGTTCTTCTTTGTATTGTTGATTATCATAGTTTGAAGAATATTGATATGTAATATCCCTGTGTGGGTTCCGGGATCCCATTGTTGATGAAAAAAGACCCACCGCCCTAATAGTACATGTCGTAAAAGTCTACTAATTAGGGCCGTTTCTTTCGAAGTCAGAGTTCATCTGCCTGAGAGTCGAGGAATCAACAGTTTGCACACAAATAAGCCAAATATGTGACGGATGTGTACGCAAAACTCAAGCTCTGGAGCAAGATTAAAGTCCAGAAGTGGATGTATGACTAGAACTTTCCACTGGATTTTACAGCCGATGAATGCAAACAAGAAGAATATGTGATACATTTGCCACATTTGACCTGTTCGCGTACTCTAGTAGGTTACGTAAATGATGTATACTTTCTGCTACCTCAGTATGTCATCAGAAATAACAAGGCTACGTTTTTGTCACTTTCTAAGACATAGGGTACAAAGAGTTATACAACAGGCACCGAAACACGAACCAAATAATTAAGGAAACGAGAGGGGATGTGGTTTGAGGTCCAAGAGAATAGCTAGGGCGAGGTTTAGTAAAAAAAGACCAGATGTGTTGGTCATGATTCCATATATGTTTGATGTTTGAACAGTGGATCAACATCATAGCACACGGGTAGTAAACCATAAGTGCTCTGTTTTTCTAACCCTGAGTCCGAAAAAGCTCCGCATAGTGCACAGGCTCTCTAGCACCAGCGAGGATTATGAAATACTTTGGGTAGATTTTTAACTCAAAAGTTTGCCCGGGCAGTACCGTAAGGCTACCTTTTCGATTTCCAACTGCCAAGAGATTTTTTACGTGCGCAACGATGCACACGGGAGTCCAGTCTCACTACCCAGAGACCAGGCGAAACACTAGAAGTTCAAGTCCACGTGAAACAATCCCAGCCCCTACCGGGGATTGAACCCAGAACCTCTAGCACTTGAAGCGGACACCATGCCTCGAGACCACGCAGCCCCCTAGATTCCATATAGAAGAATGAAACAATTTTACTCGAGAGAACAGGGATGGGAATTTGGCTGTGTGCTTTGTACGGTGTATTACTGGTAGGTTAAGTATAGGACCCGTTTTCATGCTTTTAGTCGTATTTGGCATACAGAGCTAGACCTATATTTGATAGACAAATCAGCCTTGGTGGGCGATGTCGCCAGCATCACGCCTTAACTTCCCAGGACTGCACCTAGTATCCACTCAAGGTTGGGTCGACCTGGGAGAAAAGGACATTTCTGAAAAAAAGTCCGGCAGGTACAACAGGGTAATGATGATTGTACTAACCTTTGCAAAACATGCGGTTAAATGTTTGCTTTGAGTCAGTTGTTGACAGATTGCTGGGTGACTCTACATACATTACATTATCTATGCTTGACGCCAAGCGATGGACAAATTCTTTGCTGTAGTCCGTTCCTAGTTGAATTACGAATACCTGAAACCGTAAAGCAAAAACAGATAAGGTGAAAAAAAAACCAGTGGTTTCATAAAACTATCAAACCTGTGTTTTGTCACTAGTGAAATACATCATCATCATGTAGCAGGTCCTTTGCAGAACGTCGCTCTTATCACTGTCTGCCTGAAAGAAACTCGGTCTCTAGTCAGCTCTCCCGCCTCACGTACTTTCATACTCAAGGAGTCACTTATATCCCGTGCCCATCTTCGCGTTGTTCAGCCCCTGCGCCTCCTTTCTGGTACCATAACTTTTGCTATAATTCTTTCCAATTCGCCGTGGCGCTTGATATGACCAAAATATTTCAGCTTCCGAGACAGGATGCTGTTTATTATAGCCAGTCTTCCTTGATGTTCAAATCTTTCAATAGGTCAATGTTTCTCCTCTTCTTTGTCCAAGAAACACCGGGTGACAAATTATTAAAATGAAAACAGTTCCAGGTACCAGGTGCTAAAATTATTGTAACTTGTACCAAGCTAGTTTTTGTATTGTTTTGCTTTTAGCTCTTGATAACGTTAAATGATTACAGTGCTAGCAAGTTTGTCTGCCAACCAAGTAAGACTACAAGCAAAGGATCATTCTCTTTGCCACAGAAGCATCGAGTATTGGATACTAGACTCGCATTCTCTATAAACCAATCTTCTTCTTCTTCTTCTTTTTCGCCTTCACCAGCTGTAAACTCCGGCGGAAAGTTCTAGTTGTTCGCCCTCTTCTGGACTGCAGTCCTGTTCCAGAACCTGAGTGTTGCGTGTGCATACGTTTTACAGATCTGACCCATTGGCATGCAGACTGCTGGTTCCTTGCCTCTCAGGCAGATGCACTCCGACTTCGAAGGAAGCTCTGAATTAGTCGACTCTTACGACATGCTTTTGAATAGGCAGTGGGTCTATTCTTGTTGTCCCTATAATAGGGCCCCGGAGCCCACACGGGTAAATAAACCAATCAACATTCAATGGGCGATGTGGTCAATAATTCACCGATCGTATTTACTTCCCAGGAAATTACCTGGTACCCATTTGAGGCTGGGAGCCAAAGTTTATTTTGGAACAAAATTGAGTTTAATTTTAATGTAGACCAGAAGGGGCTTTTTTTTCCTAGGGAAAAATTTGTGACAGCACTCATCACAAAGAGTCTTTAAAAAAGTGCTGGTACTGTCCACAATGTCTATGAAGTAGCACCGAAAAGATTATGCCTTAAGATAGAAGGACACACTAGACAACATACACATCGAAAAACTATAGTCAAGTGCCGGTATTCGAACCTGTCACCGCCAAATGGGGTGCGCGCCTCGCTATTGAAACAAGTGAACTTAAGAACATGACCAACTAGGCACCCTTCTTTATTGACCATGTATACCGTACAACTATGGAATACGGACATAATTTATCTTAAACCATTGTATTGGCAACATAGGTTACAGAACTTCTGTAAACTCTTGTGGAACGTTCTGGTTGTTCGTCCACTTCTGGACTGCAGTCCTGTTTCAGAACCTGAGTGTTGCATGTGCATCTGTTTGACAGATCTGACACATTTGTGTGCAGACTGATGGTTCCTTGACTCTCAGGCAGATGCACTCCGACTTCGAAGGTAGATCCCAATTAGTCGACTCTTACGACATGCTTTTGGGTACACAGTGGGTCTATTCTTGTTTTCCCCATAATAGGGCTCCCTCCCTCTCTCTCTCCCTCTCTCTCTCCCCCCTCTCTCTCCCTCTCTCTGTCTCTCTCTCCCTATCTCCCTCTCACTCTGTCTCTCTCTCTCTGTGTCTCTCTCCCCCCTCTCTCTCTCTCTCACTTACACACATCTATCAATTTATTTTCGTATCTCACCTAATTCCGAATTTACACCTCTTATTAGGCCTATAAGTCGGTTCTGTGGCTAAATCGATGCTAACGCTTTGGAGTGCCAGGTTTAATCCCAACTGCGGGCCATGTGCCTTGTGTTGGTTTCGACAGTGGTATCAGGGGGCCGACCCTCCAAAAAACAATGGCAAACTACTGGACGTAAATTTGCCTAGAGAAACCACACAACAACCAGGGGCTGCTGGGGTTGGTTCTGCAACGTCCTGTAAAAGGATACGCATCTAACCTTTTATGCCGATGTGTTCCCCCCCCCCCTATCTAATATCGTATCTTCCATTATTGTTCATTTCTCATTTGAAAATCATCTCGCACATCGGACATGACCATAAGTGCTCCGATCTCCTCCTGAGTTTGTCTCCAAGTGTTTTGGGGCTAAAATCTCCCATTCTGTTCAA